GGATGGACTTTTTCACTGGAGGAAGCGTTTTTATGGATTATGGACTGGTATTTTGTCTAGAAGAATTTATGGACTGGAGTGGTGTTACTTGTGGATTATTGTGATGTTTTTATCAGCTGTTTGGACTCTCATTCTGACGGCACCCATTCACTGCAGAGGATCCATTGGTGAGCAAGTGATGTAATGCTAAATTTGTCCAAATCTGTTCAGATGAAGAAACAAACTCATCTACAGCTTGGATGACCCGAGAGTGAGTACATTTTCATCACATTTTTATTTTGGGGTGAACTATTCCTTTAGGTCAAGTTCTGGGCTTTGGTCTGTAAGTCTTAGTAAATATTATAAATAAAATAATCGTTTAGATTTCCTGAACACTGCTGTGGCTAGAAATACAACGCATGAAGTCATTTTATCATACAGCCATAACTTGCGATGGGTAAAATCAGGTCACACACCACAAAAAAAAAACATGAATTAATTAATTACCAAACACTTAAACTTACCCAGATTCATGAGCTCAGTGACTATAACAGCTGATATAGAAATAGTGAAGTGAAAAGCTACTGGTTGGCATTGGCAAGCTAAAATTATGTTGTTTACTCTATGGGACACCACTTTGCTAAATACCCACTTGTCGCTTTTAATCAGAATTTTGCCATTTGTATGTTTATAAGAAACTGAAAAAAGCACAAATGTCAGGGCATGTCAACACCTCTCCAGGGCCCCAAAACACCCTCAAACCCCAGAGGGTTCAGAAAACAAACTAGCGATTTTATTTAACCTAAAACTGCTTTTCAAAGCTATATAGTTCCAGTAATTATTCAATAGTTTGTTCAGAGAGATATCACATAAATTGAGATGTTTGTCAACTAATGAGTAGGCCCTGTTCTTCATCACTTTATACTGTAAACCTGAGATAATATGATGAATTCAAGATCAGCTAATTGTTCTAATGGCTCTCTAGGTAATCTGGTTCTTCAAAAACAGATGCAGATTTATTAAATTGTAATAAAACAGATTTATTAAGTATTAAAATATATTGACTGAGTTATCTGGGCACATCAATA